CAAGTCTGACTACACTATGGTATATACCCAGTCTTTTGTGGTAGTGAAAAGAGGTCATGGCAGGAAAAAAAAAAAAGGCCACCTAGCAGGGAAAATGTGTGAAATGTCAGTTTTCTGTAATGGTGAAAGTAGTCATGGCAAAGGATCTAGAGGTGAGGGTAAACAGCAAATTTGATTCATCAGTAAGGTGATACTGGCAGCAGCAAACAGCCAAACAGAAAACAGAGCTGCATTTCTGAAGGCATTGTATTACAGAGAAGGGAGATAATATTCCATCATTATATTGCTCCAGCATATCTCCTCAGGAATATCATATTCTGCTGGGACCCACAAACCACATTACTAGAAAGGTGTCAACAAAGCAGAATTTGATGAAGCCAAGTGTGATAGAAAATTTAGTTTCTTAAGAAAGATCAAAATACAGGACTTAAGACAACTTGATAAAGGGACTAAGAGGAACTCAGAAATACAAAGTTCTGTGAGAATTGAAAGATTTTGATTAAATGGGTGAAACAAAGCTGTACATGGGAGTACAAGTAGGATTAGCTCAACTTTGTTCAGAGCTCAGCAGTGAAGGAAAGGAGATGGCAATGAGCTCTTTTGCATTGTAGAATAGTCTTGCTTTGGAAGCAATATTGAACTTGCAGGGAAAATCTTTGCTCTTGGTAATTACTTTTACATTCAATTTGACATTGGCGAGGTAGGAATTCAGACCTAAAAAGCTTTTACATCTCTAATGTGTCAGTTTCAAATTCTTTAGCACTGATTAGCCAATATATAGTAAATATGTGCTACTTTGTCCTGTGGATTGCAATGAAGATCAGTCCCCAGGTACAGCTGTTGTTTCCTCATTATCCACATGGAACATAATTAACATTGGGATAATTCAAAATTTTGGAAAACTCTAGGATTGCATGTATTAGACATCTGGTTCAAAGCTTGGGTTTTCTTCATGCGTGCATCTAGGTGAGTAGTTTCTTCACATGCTCCCGATCCATTCTCCTCACCTTTCCACTATTCTGAGTGTAGATAATCTTACTGGAGACAGTGCAGAAATCTGTGGGACAAAAAGGACGTGTTTGTCATAAAGCTGAATGCTGCCTTCTCGTACTGCCACTCCCTCAGGTGAGGGAGACTGAAACAAAGGCAGCCAATATTTTTGTCTGATTGCTTTTTAAAGGAATGTCTATCCAGCTTGTTGAAGATCTTTTTATCAAAGAAGAAATGATAGTGTATTCCTCTGCAGGGCAAGTCCTTCACTTGCCTGAAGAAAAACATAAAAGGCTGTTGAAACCATGACCTTGCATGCGTCTTTTTATATGCCAAAGATGCATAGTCTATCGCAGATCAGAAGTCAAACTCTCAAGCAATCTACTTCTGAAATGCTTAATGATACAAATGATACAACCTTGTTGCTGCAGTAACAGTAATTCAAGGCTCTTCTATGAGCACATCTACCACTGCAGCTAAAATATAACCGATGAGTAATGTGGCCAGCTTAATGAAGTAGTAGCAACTTGAACAATTGGAATTTCCATTACTTGTTTCCTTCCACCTTAATTTAGCATTGACACACATGGTTTTTATTTCATTCACTTAATGGCTATGCACTCCCAAGCATGCAGTTGTAGCTTTCCTAAGGTTAGTTCACTGTAATACAACATGGTCTCCGAGCATATGTGAATTGTTTCCGCTAGTGTAACGTCTCTGATGTAGCTGTGGAAGGATGGCTCTGCTCAGGCTCCGAGGCACTTGCTGGAGGTGGCAGCACCCTCCTCTGCTGTAGAGCCCGCAGAGCCTGGTAACCATCCAGCTTCCTTGCAACTGTTCCCATCAGTCAGCTGGGGACAGCTCTTGGGGGGGGGAACCTGGTGAGCTCTGGACAGCTCTCGGTTTTGATATCTGTAGAGAAAATGTCGCCCTGCTCCTGGAATATGTTTTTTTCTTTAAATGACACTCCTTACACCACTGACCTCATCTGACTCAGCATTGCTTCTGTCTGAAGGGGGGGAATTATAAGCAAGTCATAGATTTTGACATAGCTGGAGAATGTAGGGAAGGCGGCGTACCAAGAGAAACAAAATACTGCTATTTGAGCAAACAAAAAATGATTTTTAGAACAGTCTAACAGGCACTTGTGTAAAGCAACTAGAACCTAATCTAAACATCACAAGCTTCCGAAAACAAGGGGATTGTCTATTATGTACACACAGTTTATTTCATCCTCAGGTTTCCAGGAAGGTTTTGCTGAGGTTTGTGCTGGTAGCCATGATGGCACTGTACCTGCTGCACCAATCCAGTTCCTGGGTTTGCTCTGCATGTTTGACACGGTGAGAACACCCATGTCTCTCACCATTGCAAACGGGGTAGGGTTGAAATAGTCATCTGGGTGGATCAACAGCTTTCTTATTTAGAGGCTGCTTGTATTAAAAGTCTGTAGACGACAAGTGAGACCTGTGCTAAGAGTGTCCCCAGCAAATGAAGCTGTGACTACAGCATGAGCTTCTTTACTGTTTGCACTTCATTCTTAGGCACAGAGGGGAAACAAACACAGGAGGGAAAGGACTTAGAGAGGCCTGGAGAAAGAAAACTGTGGAATATTTTTACTCTAAAATGCACCTGGTAGTGATAGCGCAGGCACATGAAAGAGCTGTGGTCCTGTTGCGTTGAAGGGGAATGTTGGCTAGGACACTAGCATGTCCTCTACACTTTGAGTGCCAAGCTATGCTGAACGTTCATGCAGACAAGACAGAAACCAAAGGAGTAGAAACAAGTGACCTTAGTTTAACATTTCATTCAAATGGCAGTGCCTCTAATGAGATTACCGTTTTAGTTTCCTAGCATACTACCCAGACTGAAGGATCTCACAGACCCTTTCAGATGTCCTAAACTGATAAGCAAATGGCATGTTATACATGTGAAAGTAAGGTAGAAGCACATAGTGTTTGATTAAGCAGCATCCCTGTTTCTTAACGTTTAGCTCTGTTCAGCTTGATGTCTGTGCAGTTTTATTCTGTTCTGGGTTTTGCTCCCCCCCCCCCTTTTTTTTTTTACACAAATGACTGAAGATTTAAGTATAGGAAGGTAACGTGCAGTGCATAAAAACGTAACCTCTCTTCTAATACTTTTTTCTGTGATACTATCTTTACTAGTGAAGCAATGACTTGCCATGTTTATCTTGCTCCTGTTTTTATTCCATTCTCTTGAACCCTTGAAATGGAGCCAAGGGCGGGCACTAAAAAACGACAGTGAATTTCCAGGAAGAGGAAAGGAATAGTGCAATGGGAATTTACCTTCAATCTTTTGTGTGTGCATTTAAAAAAAAAAAAAAATATCCAGTACTAGCGTTTAGAAAGAGACCTCCTGGATAAACTGGCAGGCCTGAAAACTGTGCTGTTTGAAGGGCAGCAAGTTAGTTTTGTCACCCCTCAAAGTAATCATCCAAACATCACTAGTTGTGGCCTCATATAGGGTAGGCTCCAAATGCTGTTAATGCAAGTGTGCCCTCGAGGTATTTGTGAGACATTAGAAACCTGTTTTCTTTTCAAGCTATGTGTTGTTATCTGCGTTGATTTTGGTTTGGGCCAGTTCTACTGGCTGAGTGCAACTTTCACTCAAATCCATGTGAATTTCTGTGGTTTAATTTGGACCTCTGACTGAAAAATATGGTTATGTGGTTTAGTCTAGTGTCTGTGTGGAGCATAATCGTTCCCTTGTACAAATGGCTTTTTTGCCACTGTGAATACTAAAGAAACACTTCTATTGCCTCATGGTTTTGAAAAATTATTGACCATCTCCTCAGATAAAGACTGGGGCCCTGGTCGTGTTTGCTCTCTGCTGTTTCACCATCAGTTTCTCTATCGCGTTTTAAGGTAGGTGTAGGGGCAGAGTGGCCTATTATCCGCGTTCAAACCAAGCTACCTCACTCTAGTGCATTACGTGGTTTTCGTTGTCTTTTTGGTTATCAGAGTAGAACCCATGCTTTTTTTTCTTTTTTTTTTCCCCTACCTTAACGTAATGGGAATTTCTTTGTAACTGGAGGGTAAAGGCAGGGATGTTGTGGAGATACAGTAGAGTGGTTCTGGAGGTCCTGCACATATTAATGACTTGAAAGGGGTGAGTGTTATTTAATGTTTATAGCTTTATCCTGAGAGCAGAAGCTTTTTGTTTATATCTGTAGTTCTGCCAACAGCTTCTCCCCTTCCCTCTGGTTCTCTGTATTTTAGCTGTTCCCAATCTAAGGCAGAAATGCTATCCAGTGTTACTGAACAAGGGTTATAAAGTTTTATGAAACACCTAACAGCTGGAGTATAAACTATGAAAAATCAAGGAATGAATTAAGGAAGCAGCTAGCTATTTGTGTTCTCAGCCTTCCACTTAAGTGTCGTGCCTTTAGAAGACTTGTATTGAAATAATGAGACAGGTATGTAGTGAAACTATGCTTTTGCCATGAAAATTAAATGCTGATTAGAAATAACCCATAATACCTCTATCTGCATTCGAAGAGACTAAATTTTAATTTTCCCTTGAGAAAGCAAGGGCTATGGAACCAAGAGCCAAACATGAACTTGTGGGTTTTTTTTCTGATGCTAAATGCATGTAGTATATACTTTTTTCAGTTTAACAAACCAAGCAAAAGAAGGTAAACACTTTTTTTTTGGTGCCTTTCCTGCTATGTATTGGAAGATCTATGTAAAAAGAACTTGTTCGTAGTACATTATATGTCACGGTGCAATACATATGTTCTGAAGCAGAAGTTACAAATGGCTATGTAGTTGTTAACAGGTTAGTAAAGAGATCTGGGTGTTTGGGATTCTAGCATGGGATCTTGTTTGCTTGTTTTATTACAAAATTTGTCTTGCCCATGAAGTAACTGAGCATGAAGAGGGGCTTGAGAAGCCTAGAAAGATCTGTCCCCTTCCCTGGGGGCTATATTAGACCTCTGAGTCATGAAGTCTTTGCATAGTAGGTGTCTGGTTACAAACCTTTTATGGGCCCTACTCAGCTGGGATATCAGCATCTGCACTATAGCTCCCATCTATTCTTAGGTGATATCCCAGCACGACTGAACAGGCAAGGCAGAAAGAGAATTGCTTTCGTATATAAAACTCTTCCCTTTTGTCATTCTGTTTTTTCACGCTTTCTCTGTCTACCCCATCCTTCTGTTCTGCAGTGCCTTGTTGTTGCCTTGTGAAAGAGGTACAAAATGGCTTACAGCGTGACTCTGAATGGACCTGGACCATGGGGTTTCCGACTGCAAGGGGGCAAGGACTTCAACATGCCCTTGACCATCTCCAGAGTAAGTCGGCAAAAAAAACTTCTTTGAGCTTGTTTAGGTTGGAAAATAGCAGTGAACTAGTCATATGTACACTCTGACCTGGCCTAGCAAAATAGAGCATCTTTGCAGCTAGGTCTGAATAAAGAGAATATCATGTGGACTTTAGATATACCAATTCAAGGTACAACCTGGCATTGATGATGCCTCAGGAAGACAGTTCTGGTTAGTATATTTTTAAGAATGACAATACCGTCTCTTCTAAATAAGCTTCCAGTTCTATTTTGTACAGTGTTGTCTCTTTTTCTGCTGATAGGGGCCTCATTGGTGCTGTCTATCTGGGGGGAAGGGAGTAGAACAACTATGAATGGGAATATAAAATTATATTTCTGGAAAATAAACATGTAACTGCTTGTAAATTCATGAAGTCTAGGTGTTAAAACTGGACAAAGATAGGGATACATGTCCCTTCTTTTGGAGGGGAGCAATAATTGGATGAAAATTAGACATGTCAAGCAGAAGACTCAATAGTGCTTAAAATACGATCTTAAGTTATGCAGAAGCCTTCCATTTGCAGCTGACAAACAGCATGTGATTTAATAATTAATTACGTGGTGTATCTGCTGATTACAGATTAGTCCATTTATTTCCTAGCTGTCTTTTGGTTTTTTTTTCCCTAAGAGCAATATTTTAAGGTGTTGCAGTGGAGTGCTCTTATTACCCGAATTAGCTCAGTTTCATAAAAGTTTTTAAGATTGGATGGTTTTCAGGAAACTTGTGTTTCCCTTACCTACCCTTCTCTTATCAAACTAGATAGTTCTGTGTAACTTCTGGTTTGGGAACTCTGCTTTCTACTACCTCTTGCAGCTCCTTCCTCCCTTTTTTTTTCCTTTTTTCTTTCTGACACTCTCAAATCTGTTCTAGAATGTTCAGATCTTTTTAGAGACATCTTGGTTCCTCCACCGATCACCTGCAGAAGGCTTATTTTGCAGTGCAATGACTAGAGAGGTTACTTACATAACAGTGTTTAAAAGGAATACCAGAATGATTTAATCAGACAAACAAATAGAATGCAAACAAAAGGTCTGTTCCACTGCAAAAAAAGCCACCTACGCCACTTTGAAAACTGATTTTTTTCATAATGAAAAAATACAGTCTGTTAAGTTGTGGGTACCAAATTGATATCCCTGCGACAATCATGATTCAAAGTCATCAGTGAGCTTCTGAAATCTTAACTATGCTATTTCATATTCATGCTGTAAAGCTCTGTATTATTTGATCTCTCTTATTCTTATGCACAATATTCCTTTCTCTGAAGGTAGAGATGCATTTACCTTAATACTAAGTCCTATGATGATGAGAGGAACTTTTCATAAGCCCTTTTGCAGAAGCGGCATAGTAATTGCAAAGAAGGCTGTTCTGTCAGTGTTATTAAAAACAAACAAGCAAAAAACAACCAAAAAAACCCCCTGCCCACAAAAATAAACTCACTTCATAAACTTATACTAATTTCACTGTGGTAAGTAGTTTTGGTATTTCTTTCCTTATCCCACCCAAGGTAAGTACAGAGAGGTGCCAATTTATTTCTGTAGGCATTTTCATGACACTGCAGCCCACACTGTATAATGTTGATTACTTTTTTTTATAAGTAATTCAGTCATACCTAGAGGCTGTCAGTCAAGGGCTGTGGCTGCGGCACCTGCACTGTGTGTGACACAATCAGAAATGAAAAAAACAATTGTTTCCCAAAGAACCCATTGCCTTGGATTATAATCTCTTAAAGTATATTCAATATGTTCAAAGGCTATATGATTCTCATGGGGCTTTTGAGAGCATATGGTGAGCAGGAGTGAATCTGCAATGGCTGGATCCCAAAGGTGTGGAGGAATTACTTCTTCACGCAGCTGGCTGCATTTCCAGCAGTAGAAGTGTCAGAAAGCACTGTTAAATGTT